ACAGGCAGTGACCTTCCTAAGGGGCCCAGCCAAGTTGATGGTAATACTTTGGCAAAAGGCAACCTTAATATTAACCCACCCTCCATGATGCTGGAAGTCTCCTTTGACATATGACAATCTGGAAACTTCCTTTGTCCTTACCCGCTCCCCCCAGGTCTACAATCAGCCTCACCTCACAACTGGGGAGCAGCTCTTTCTGCCCCCAGGTGTCCTGTTCCCGTGCTTTAATAAAACCACATTTTTTGCACCGAAAACGTCTCAAGAATTTTTTCTTGGCCATTGGGTCAGTCCCCAGTTGAAGCCACATCAGTGAGACCTCAGGAAACTCTAGCTATAGCTGCTAAGAATGTCCTGACCTCCTCACGATGGGCACCCTTACTTCGTCAGGAGCCTGGATTCTGGACTCTTGCTTCAGTAAGTATTTCGGGGGGGGGGGGTTTGGTTGGTTGATTTGGACCCACATGATTCATTCAGAAAGCAGTTCGCCTCTTCCCCAGAGTTTCTCACCTGCCAGATGTGTGCTGGGCTGGCCCGGATAGAGGCTGGCTACGTGCCAGGAATCGGGCAGTCTCTGGGAGAACATGCAGGAAGAGTCATCTCTGTAGACACTGTGGCATCCCAGAGGTCTCTTTAGAAGGCCATGGACCAGAGGGAGGTGACCTTGGGGCTGTCAGCTGGTTAAGGGCAGAAGTGAAAGGCCAGGCAAAAAGGGAAAGAAGGGACTTCCCAGGGAGAGCCAACAGCAAGGGACATGCCTGGGAATCTGGGATTTAATAAGGAATATATATCGGATCTTAGCTTGACTCCTAGAGTACAGATCCTAAGGTCTTTGGAATTTCCCAAGTGTTGAGAGTGGTAAAGCCATCTTTATGTCCTAGTGGTGACTTTTGGAAAAGCCCCTATGTAACCTAGAGATGGGCTATCGTGTGCCTGTAATGACGCTTCCATAAAAAAAAACTCAGAGGACAGGGATCTGAAGGGCTTCTGAGTTGGTGAACACGAAGAGGTTTGGGGGGAGTGGTACCCTTCCCCCGTGCCTTGCCCCACGCCTCTCTTCTGCCTGGCTGTTGCCGAGTTACAGCCTTCTATCATCAACCAATGATCAAGGAGTTAACGTGTTTCTCTGAGTCCTGTGAACCACTCCAGCAAATTCATCACATCCGGGGAGGGGGTCATGGGAACCTCTGATCATGGCTGGTTGGTCAGAAGCACAGGTCACTTGAGACTGGCATCTGAGGGGGGATGGGGGGGCCGGTCCTGTGGGATGAGGCCTTTCACGGGCGGGACCGATGCTGTCCCCAGGGAGAGAGTGTCAGAAGTGAATTGAATTGTGGTACTCCCAGCTGGTGTCCGAATTGCTTGTGGCGGCGAGAAGACACAAGCACGTTGCAAGCCCGGACCGGCCTGCTGTTTGCAGGGGGTGGGGGTGGGGGGCGGGACACGGGGACAGGTGCCAGAGCGCGCTGGAGGTTGGGCCTCTTCCTGAGGCCCCTGTGGTTCAGTCTGGAGTCTCCGGGGTGGACTGTGCTTTGGAGAGTGCGCAGGACCTCCCTGAGCAGGACGAGGAGGTGGGCCGGAAGGTCAGGGACGAGGTGATGAAGGATGACGGACAGGGAGAGGCACACAGCACCTCGTGCGGGGCGAAGGGTCGCGGGAAGTTTCCTCAGCGTGGGCAGGAGAGAGGCTTCTCCCATTATCTCACAGATAAGCGTGGCGCATCTAGGTTAGAGACTTGGGGGAAAATGCAAAGGAGAGAGTAGCTAAAAAGAAAAAACAAAAAAACGCCCCCCCCCAAAGCCCCCTCGAAACACATCACAGCGATCGCCTCAAAGAGGCAGGACAAGGCACTGCTCTTTCAGGAGGACTGAAGTTTGGGCTTGTTGCTTTTTTATAGCAAAATTAATGTAATGAAGATGAGAGCCGTTTCTAGGGGCTAGTCAGTGTATTTTCAATTAGTTAATCTTAATGAGGACTGATTCTTAGAAAGATTTAGGTTCACAGTGCAAGTGAGGGGCAAGTGCAGAGGTCTCCCGTATACCCCGACTTCCACACATGCGTGGCCTTTCCCATTATCTACACTTTCCACCAGAGTGCTGTGCTCGTGACCTTGGACGAACCTATTGGGCACATAGTCATCGAGTGTCTGTATGAGCACGTTAGGGTCCCTTCTTGGTGCTGGACATTGTGTGAGTTTGGACAAACATGCATTTTTTAAATAAAGGTTTTATTTATTTATTTGAGAGAGAGAGTGAGTGAGCACAAGTTGGGGGAGGGGCAGAGGGAGAGGGAGAAGCAGGCTCCCTCCAAGAGCAGAGACCCTGATGTAGGACTCGATCCCAGGACCCTGGGATCAAGACCTGAGCCAAAGGCAGACGCTTAACGGACTGAGCCACCCAGGCGCCTCTGGACAAAACCACCTCCACCCCACCCCACCCCGCCCCACCCCGCCCCTGCAACCCCATCAGAGCCAAACAGTTTATCAAACACAGAAAAGAAAAATAATTATTTTATTTAATTTAAAATAGCAAGACTTTGGCTTCAACCCAGGGTTTCAATACAGTTTTGCACTGGCCAAAAAGACCTCGGGCTGTTACTACGCCGGGGCAGGACGTTTGTAAAAAGTTTCTTGTACAATGTTTCTTCTTGTCGTGTACATAAGAGGAGCTCTGTGCGCACCCTTAACCCCAGGCCAATTAATACTCTTTATTCAAAGACAAAAACAAAAAAACAAACATAAAGAACTCAGAAGCACAGAGAGGCAGAACGTTCCTGACTCAAAGACCGAGGTTCAGAAAGTGCCTGAGAGGAGAGGGCCATGGGCTGAGGACACCGGATGGGGCGGCAGCACCTGCCCGTGTCTGCACCGGGAGGACGCAGGGGAGGGTCGCCAGCAGGGCTGGTGGAAGAGAAAGAAACCCCCGGGGCCGAGCCAAGCGCGAGAGGAAGGCAGGCTGTCCTGCTCTGATCGGAAGCAGGAGCCCCTCCTGGGCTCCTAAGACACGACTTCATCCCACCACATTCCAGTTTTGAACCCCACAGAGGTTCAGCTCCGCCCCTGCCCCGCCCCCGCCGACCGCACCCCTCCCGGGCCCACATGTCTCCACCAATCACAGTACCACATCTGGGCTCCGCGGACACGCGGCGGGCGGCCGGGGAAGCGGAAATGGGAATAAGCCGGGGCGGGGGGGGGGGGGGGGGTAACTTTTGCGTGGTTCTGACCAAAGCAGCCAGCGCACAGCAGGGGCGTCAACGAGTGGGATGAGAACCGGAGGGGTTCCCCGCGGCCCAGGGGTTCTCCCGAGCCCCTACTCCTGCTGCCGGGCCTCCCTGGCCGCGGCCTGCGGGCGGACGTCCAGGCCTGGCCAGTCCTGCGGGAGCCGCGCCGGGCCGGGCAGCCAGCACTGCCGGCTGGGCCAGACTCTGGGGCCCCCTTCCGAGCAGGCTTTGTTCTCACCGCAGGCTCCGCGGCCCGCAGGCCAACTCAGCTCTGAACCGTTTTCTTTCCTGCGACAAGCAATTTCCTGAATGTCGGCTCCGTCCCAGAAGCTAACGTGAGGGTCTTTACCAGCTATGGGCCCATGATCTGCCCGACCGTCTCTAGGGGGTCCCTGGATTCCCCTTATCTTGGCCATTTCTGTAAGGAGATTGGCCTACCTAAAATCTTAAAAAAAAAAGGGGGGGGGGGTGCCTGGGTGGCTCAGTGGGTTAAAGCCTCTGCCTTCAGCTTAGGTCATGCTCTCAGGGTCCTGGGATAGAGCCTGGGATCGAGCCCCTGCAGGCTCTCTGCTCTGCAGGGAGCCTGCTTCCTCCTCTCTCTTTGCCTGCCTCTCTGCCTACTTGTGATCTCTGTCTTCAAACAAATAAATAAAATCTTAAAAAAAAAAAAAAGAAGAAGAAGAGATTGGCCTACCGGCAAGTAGCTTTCTGTAGGGCCGCCCAGGGCTTATGGTGAGTCGTAAGGGTGATGATCACCGGATGATTTTCATAAAGAAAACTTAAAAAAAAGGAAACCGAAAATGAGCATTTTGGATATAGCTCTGTTGACGACTCTTTCTTTCAGACTCTCTTCCTGTGACAGATTTTGGTTTGGAGAATAAAATGGAGATCCACAGTATGGTGAGGCTGGTTTTAATCCAGAACCATCTGACTGGTTCAGAAGATCACTTCGGTTTGGTAGAGTTCTGACCGAACCCAGGGGAGGGCCACCGGTAGGCTGAAGTTGTGCTCTTCCTCCCCAAGCCGCCTGCCGTGACACTGCCGCCTTAGCCAGCGGCTTGTGACTCAATAGAGAAACGTTTTTCTGAAGGAACAGGAAAATGTTGGTGGAAGAGCCATGACTATAGAGATACGGGTTTATTTTTTATCCTTTTCTTTTAAATGTAAATAATCACCCCACGACACGTGTGTCACTTCACCCAACCCAACCCCCAAAGCTTCACCTTCTGGAGGAATCTGTTATTTGGGTCATTCACCAACTCTCTGGTCACCCTATGAAAAACTAGGCCAGGAAGTGAATCAGCCACATCCCTCCCCAGCTCGCCCGTCCAGGATTTAGGAGGCATCCGACATCCACTGGGATTCCCTGCAATGCCTCTTCCTGTCCCTGTTCCAGCTCTCCTGAAGGAGAAGGGAACTGGGTATTAAAGAGACTGGTGGAGGCAGGCAGGAGTCTGGGTTCTAGCCTAGACTGGCAAGTCAAGCGCAATTTGCATCAAGGGTTGGATCTGGAGGTCCCAAGGAGACCAGATGCCCAGAAACCTCATGGGAACCTTCCACCTAGTTAAAGGGAACTGGCTCTTTTGCTGGCCAGCAAAGCTATCCAAGAAAAGCTGGGCTCTCTGGGCAATCTCAATGTTCTGACAAACCAAAAATCAGCTTCGCGACATCTAACTGGGGGATGCACCTGGGGTAACCCCTGGCATTTTATTTAGGACGGGTGCATGTTACATGTTATACATATATATCTCTTTGTGCTTTTCCCCTAGGTGTGGGTCCCTCGAATTGTAAACAGTGCTGTGTGGTCAGCTGTGGGAACAGCTAGTGCAAAGGCCCTGTGGTAGGCAACCTGACAGTGATCACGTGCCGATCTCACTGCCGACCCTCATGCAGGCCAAGTGCTCCCACGTGCAGAAGGACACAGGTGGGAGTGGGGCTGTGCCACCTAAGGGTCTAGGAGGTAGAAGCAGCTGAGTCTGTGGCCGCTCCCCCACAAGGGGGGTCAAGAGCTTCAAAAGCAGAAGGCTTCAAGCACCAGTGGGTGCCTGCCCCCACTCTCTGCGGCTGGGACTCACAGAAGCACGTGTCCCCAGGTAGGCAGCACCTGTGCACAGAACCAGGAAGGGGCAAGCTCAGGTCCTTGGAAGTTCATCCGGGGTGTGTCTGGATCCCTGAGATTCTCCTGTCTTGGAGAATGCAGGAGCCTTGGGAGGGCCAGCCGGGCTCTCGGCAGAAGGCTGGGAGAGGCAGCCACAGCAGCAGAGGGAGAAGAGCCGAGTTCGGACGGCCTGGGTGCAGAGGACGAACATGATGCAGTTGGCACCGCCCTGAAACGTGTTCCCAATACCCTGTTGGGGAGAAGAGGAGAGGCACGAGTGCCAGGGCTGGAGGGGGGCGGACGTGCACACATAAGGAGACTGGGAAGGGCTGCGGACCCCAGAACCTGTCCTCCCCCCCGCTGAGGCTGGTCTGCGACCCCTATGTGCAGGCCTTCTGGGGTGGGAAGGACAGGATCACTCCCAGGCCCCTGGAGAGCCCCTTCATGTTCCTAGGCCGTAGGACAGCCTCACTGCCCTTCCCCCCTTCTCTCACTAAGGCTCCCTGGCTCAGGCAGGGAACCAGGATCCCTGCCAGCCAGTGCACTGGGAAGCACTCACCCTTCCCGGGGTTGGGGTGGGGGCAGGGGAGAGGCAAGGGCCGGGGAGGGCAGGCCCACATACATGCAGAACGACCAGCACTGGTGACCGCACGGCCGGGGAGCCACAGAGGGTCAGGACGAACCGCACGGTGCTCCAGACCCGGAGGCAGATGAAGATGAGTGGGATAAAGATCAGCTTCTTGTCGGCCACAGAGGCGTGGCGCTGCAGCCGGTGTGCCTCGGAGAGGATGGGCCGGTACTCCGACAGGGCCTCGTGCTGTACAGGCGATGCGGAGAACAGGGGTGAGCACGGCGGGCTGCGCAGCCCCGTGCGGGGGTCTGAGCCACGGCTGACATCTCTGGTGTCAGGGCGCCGCGCCGGATCCTGACCCCCAGGCCTAGCGCGCACTGCCCCACCTCGGCCAACAAACCCGCATCCTTCCAGGTGCCCGGGGCCGCAAACTCTCTCCTGTTGCTGTCACCCATGTCCCTCCTCTGGCCAAGACCTGCAGGCTCCACCTTCAAAAGAGAGCCAGAACCCCGATGCCCTGTCCACTGCCACTGCCACCAGCCCGATCCAAGTGCCACCACCACTCCTCTGGGCAGCGGCAAGTCTGTCTTAGCTGTCTTCTCCCGTCGCCCTCACACCCAAACTCCTTCTTGCTGCAGTCTTCTTAGCCTGGAAGCAGCGTGGTTCCTGGGAAACCTAAGTCAGATTCAGTTCTACCTGAAGGTCTCAGACTCTAGTCTAGTTCTGACCTCATTCTTACTGCTTTCGCCTCATTTACTCCAGCCACACAGGCCTCCTCATTATTCCCCAAACATATTCCCCCGGCACACCCTACCACAGGGCCTTGGCACTACCTGTTCCCATCTGGAGTGCCGTTTCCCATCTGCCCGGAGGCTCACTCTCTCACCTTCTTCGCTCCTTTGCACAATGTCGCCCTCTGGAGGACGCCTCCTGACAATCCCATTTCAAGTGCATAGGTTATTTCCCTACTACTGTCCTGTCCCCAGATTCTGCTCTTTATTTTTGCCTGTTTTTTTGTAACTCTTACCATCCTCCTTCCTAGGTGGCATTCATCCTTATTTATCAGGCCTGTTACTTATTATCGTCCTGCCCTCCCCTTCTAGAATGCAAGCTCCCCCAGGGCAAAGGCTATAAAGGAGGGGCTCCATCCAAAACTGGGGCAGAAGAAAGTGAGCAGGCACAGGCTTTGGGCTTCCCTACTCCTGAGAACACCCTTCAGTGAGAGGAAGGCAGGAAGCTCCATTTCCAGATCTCAACTGAATTTGTAAAAACAGATGCAGGGACACCTGGGTGACTCAGTTATTAAGCATCTGCCTTTGGCTCAGGTCATGGTGCCTGGGTCCTAGGACTGAGTTCCGTATCAGGCTCGTTTCTCAGTGGCGAATCTGCTTCTCCCTCTCCTCCCTGCTCTCACTGTCTCTGTCTCTTCCTCTCAAATAAATAAACAAAATCTTAAAAAAAAAATAGATGCAACTGCTCATAACAGAGATGTGTTTCTGAGCCTGGTCCTGTGTCCTGTGATAGCCCAGGTGAGGGGAGAAGTCACACACACTGACATTCTGAGCACCCAGGCTGCCCTGCTCAGCACCTGCTTCCTGCCTTCCTCCCCTGGGGCTTAGAGCAGCCTGGCAGGGGTGCTGTGAGGGCACAGGGGAGCAGGGCGGCTGTCCTCTTCTTTGCAAAGTTCGCTCCAGTTCACTTATTTTTCCTTTTTTTAAGATTTTATTTTTGGGGTGCCTGGGTGGCTCAGTTGGTGAAGCTTCTGCTTTTGGCTCAGGTCGTGATCCCAGGTTCTGGGATCGAGCCCCGTATCAGGCTCCCTGCTCAGTGAGGAGTCTGCTTCTCCCTCTGCCTCTGCCTGCTGCTTTCCCTACATGTGCTCTCTATCACATAAATAAAAATCTTTTTTAAAAATTTTATTTTTGTTTATTTTAGAGAGGGGGGTGCATGATCAGGGGTGGGGTGGGGGGGAGGAGCAGAGGGGAAGGGAAAGAGAATCTGATGTAGAATCTGTGCTCAGCACTGAGACTGGCTCAGGGCTTGATTTCCCTCCTCCTCCCCCACATCATGACCTGAGCTGAAACCAAGAGTCCAAAGCTTAACCAACAGAGCCACCCAGAGGGACTTATTTTTAGCTCTCCTTCCTAGCTAGAGGCAGAGAACAACCCCTACACCTCACTGCCCACTAGTCTTCCCGTTTTCTGGAAAACACTTGCAGAGCTCTGAGAGAGGACTCGTTCTCCCCCTGGCCTCCCACACATGGCCCCAGGTTCCCCGCAAAGGCCAAGGAAGAAGAGAGGCCCACAGAAGGGCAGCTGCAGAGGGGCAGCCTGGGCGTCCAGAACCTTCCCAGGGCAAAAAAGGAGCCAAGAAGGGTGTTCCCGGCCCAGGCAGGAGACCAGCAAGAAGACAGATTTCAGGCCTGTTGGTAAGCCCCGCGGTATTGGAAGAGGGTGGCAGGCAGGTGGGGAGGCAGTGGACTTTCTGAGTGAAAAGAGAACCTGAAGTCTAGACCCAGAAGCCACAGGCGGGAGCACAGTCAGCCGTGGGAAGTACCCTACAAACTCAGAAACGGCTGCCATGTCACAGGATGCTGCGAAAGACCCAAGACAGGGGACACATGCCCCTGCAGTTCAGCCCCTGAGAAATGGGCAAAGACAAAGCCCCAAACAGAACAGCCGCAGCACCCTGGGGCCCGGATTCGGACGCCCCCTCGGTGCTCCCGCCCCGTCCCCGTGCAGCGCCCCGCTGCGACCCGTCAGCCACGCAGTTAAGGACAAGGAATCATCTGGCCACGTCGTCAGAGGAAAAACTTTCTTGCCTGGACTTTCCAGCCAGCCCAGCTCTTGCTCTCTGAGCTCCTGAGACCCTGAAGAGTCTATGTGTATGACCCACCTTCCGTGGCCACAGGGGACATGGTGTGGAGTCCGTGTCACAGTACAAAATGCCAAGCTCCCGTCTCTCAAGGGCATCTCAGTTCAGCTGCTGGGATGCACTCCCCTGGAGGTGGCGCAAGCCTGGAGGCCTGCCAGGAGGGGGCAGTAGAGGTCTGTGCCCAGACAGGCTGGGCGCTCCTCTCCCAGACTCCACGCACAAGGCCTGGGCCTCAGGGGCTGGGTGAGTCTGGGGAGCCCCTTCGCCTCTGCTGGCCTCTGGTTCCTTGTCCACAACGGAGGAGCGACAGGACCCACTCCCTCCGGGACTGCATAACTAGCAAACCTGATGGCCATGGGGTGTGCCCCTGGCCTGTCCTGAGTGGCGGAGCCCAGCAGGTGCTAGGGCGTCACAGCCGCCCAGAGCTGTGGTCTGGGGGCCTGGGGAGGGGGCGGTCACAGGCACCTACCGCCCTGTTTATGTGCTTCCTGATGAGGAAGTAGAGCACGGGCAGCGTGACGTAAGCCAGCATCTCCCAGAGCTTCCCGGTCAGCAGCATCCACAGCAGGCGGTCCTCCGCCTCCAGGTCGATCCAGCACCAGCCGACGGACACGTCCGACGCGTCATAGCCGATCTTCTTTAGAGCGACAGCAGCTACAGTGATGACCAGCGGGACGCCCCAGCTGAGGGACAATAGGCACATGGGGCAGCCCCGGTCAGGCCCTGCTCCCAGCAGAGCCAAAAGGGGCAAAGCCACGGGCCGCCCCCCCCAAACCCTGGACCACACAGCATCCCTGGAGAAAGTGGGGGAGGGGTCCTCAACTGCCCTCGCCCCCCAGTCCCGCAGGCCCACCCTACTGTCACAGAGCCGGGGGAATAGGACGCAGGGATGTCCTGGCCTCCTGCCTGGACCCACACACCCCCCAGCCCCTCGGAGGCCGAGTTCTGATTTAGAATTGCTGGGCCTCTTGGAGATGGGCGTGAGAGGGCTGTGGCTCGAGGAGGGCAGCTCCCTCCTGCCGCCAGAGTGGCCTGCGCCTGTGTCTCACCCACACAGCCCCCTTGGCCGCCTGGGTCTGGCGGGGGTGTACACGGTGGCAGCCTGGCTTTGCCGCAGCAGGGACTTCTGGGGTCCTGCGCACCTGCAGCAGGATCTAGAAGGGGGACTGGGGCTTGGGTAGTAGCCATATCTCTCCGGACCTGAGGGCTCCTTGCTCTCTGAGAAGGGGTATTCCTAGCCAAGATCACAGGGGGGGCCTCCAAAGCATCAGGCCTGGCACAGGGACCCCCCCTTTGGGCAGTGCCAGGCTGACTTTTCAAGAGCTTCCCCTGATGGCAACACGGCCAGATAATGCCAAGCCCCAAGGAGCTTCCCAGTGTCCCCGCATGGGTCTGCTTGCGAAGCATTTGACACGGGCCAGGGGGACACCCAGGCTTCGTGGTGGCACCAGGCAAGAAGGAGGGCCAGAGTTGGCCCTGACCCCACTCGGCCTCGACACGTTTTTCTCCACAAAGTGGGGACAGGCACGGTGCCTAGGAGAGAGCAGGTCACTATGGGAATAAACCGAGGGGAGCATGTCTGGCACGCGGGACTGGGTAAGTGTGTCAGTGGGTCTGACTGCGGTCCTGAGTCATGTCGGACGTCCCAGGATTCCGGCCTGGAGGGCCTGTGCCGTCTCTGCCCCTGGGAGCGCGCACGCGGGCCCATGGCCCAGGTCAGTCGCTGGCAGTGTATAAACAGCCAGCGTACATGACAGGCCCTGTATAAGCAGGAACCTGTCATCAGTGAGACACTCAGCTCAGAAATCGGTTGTATAAAAAAAAAGAAAGAAAGAAATCGGTTATATGCTGAGAGCTCTGTGTAAGGAACAGTGGCTTTCTTTCTTTTTCTTTTCTTCTTCTTCTTCTTCTTTTTTTTTTTTTTACTTAAGGAATCTCTACCCCCCAACATGGGGCTCAAACTCACAACCCTGAGATCAAAAGTTGCATGCCCTGAGTTGATGGAGCAACTTTTTGAGAGAAAGTTCTAGAACAATGATGAGACCACAGCTGCATGTTAGTCTTGCCAAAATGAGTAGAAGTGCTGTGTTCAATCAGGTTCTCCAGGTGCTGCGGGGCTGTGCGGCACAGAGAAAGCCAACTCCCTGGGCCTGGGAAGGACTCTGCGTTGGGCACTTTCAGAACGGAGGTGCCTGTCTGACCCGCCCCCCTTCCCATACTGGCCTCTGGGGGCCCAGATGAGGGCATGAGGGCAGAGCCACCTCACCCTCAGCAGCCACTCTCCCCCCTCAGCGGGGAAGGCGGGGGAGGCGGGAAGCAGCATGTCCTCCTTGAGGTCACAAAGGCACAGAAGGGACAACAAACCCACAGAAGTTAAAGCTTTACGAGAAAGGGACGAAGTTACCCCCAGGAGTTTGTCCATTTTAAATGCTCGATCTATTGGTTGTTTGTGAAGCTGATACAGATTAGTGTCAAACTGTTGTCACAATACAGGGTTACCGCTTAACAATTCACGGCGTGCTGGGGTCTGGAGACAACGTATGTCCCAGCTATGAGCTCCGTGAGGGCAGGTGCCCTGCACTTTCCGGCATCTAGAACAGCGCCTGGCACCTGGCGGGGGCCAAGCAAGGACCTGCTGAATGAACGAAGTCTGAGGCCAGTGGAGGAGACAGCCTTCCCCGATTCACTCCTCAACTATTCACTGCAAGGATGCCATTGTCACGGAAAAAGAAGTACAAGGCTTTTATTTATTTTTTTAAAGATTATTTATTCATTTGAGAGAGAGAGAGAGAGAGCGTGAGCAGGGGGGAGGAGCAAAGGGAGAGAGAGAAGCAGGCTCCCCACTGAGCAGGGATTTTCCCCCCCGCCGATGTGGGGCTCGATCCCAGGACCCCAGCATCATGACCCGAGCCGAAGGCAGATGCTTAACAGACTGAGCCACCCAGGCGCCCAAGTAAAAGGCTTTTAAAGTACTAAAACTGTACTCATCACCTTATGGTTTACTGGGTTCCTCCAAGGAACCCTACGACCGACTGACCAGAAAAAGCCTGGTGTGGAGGGCACCTCACCCTGCAGGGGGCTGCCCGGGAGCGGAGAGGTGCCCTCGGGGCTGGAAGGAAGCACGCAGGGCAGACATGCAGGAGGAAGGAGCCCACTCATAGGCAGTGATTTCTCCTTCCTCAGCATCTTGGTGGCCCTCGCAGGACACCTGGGCCCCACCTGGAGACAGACCCCATTTCGTGACTCTGGGCTCTCATTGTGGTTAAGAAATCTACAAAGTGATGCATTTCCTCTCTGACGTGGGTGCGCCTGGAGCTAAGTTTATGTTGGGAAATAGCCAGAGAGAAGACCCAACAGGAAGAGAGGGCTTTCACGGGTAAAGAATGTGGGCTGACTGGGGCGCCTGGGTGGCTCAGTGGGTTAAGCCTCTGCCTTCGGCTCAGGTCATGATCTCAGGGTCCTGGGATCGAGCCCCACATTGGGCTCTCTGCTCAGCGGGGAGCCTGCTTCCCCCTCTCTCTCTGCCTGCCTCTCTGCCTACTTGTGATCTCTCTCTCTGTCAAATAAATAAAATCTTAAAGAAAAAAAAAAAAGAATGTGGGCTGATCAATCAGAGTCACTATTTGAATCTAAGCACGTGTGGCCAGAAGCTGCTCGAGAGGTATTTCAGTGGGAGGTGGTAAGAAGAAGTAATACCAGGGAGGGGTGGGAATGGAGTGGGAGGGAGGAGAATCTAATGACCCAGCCAAGCAGGCTCTGCAGACTTGTGATTTGTGGTGCTGGTAACGCTTAGCAACAGGTTCCACACACAGACGTGTCTGTGCGCGTGTGCGTGTGCACGGATGTATGCTTGCACGCGGACATTTATTACTTTAACTGACAGGAAAGACGAGAGGCACCCAGAGGCACCCAGTCTGCAAGTAATCACACAACACGCTGCGACCCTAGTGGCGGATTCCGGATAGCCACCCGAGCCTCACGGAACGTGTTGATTGAAATGAAATGAAAATAGTTTCAGGACGGAAAGCTGGTTGTGTTTTCATTTTCCTTCACATGTAAGAATCATGTGAAAAAAGGAAGACCTAAGGGACGAGACAAAGGGTGACCAGGGAGTGATTTCCTTGTGGGAGCAAATATTCCCAGCCCTGGAAGAGTATTTTTTCTTTTCTTTTCTATTCCTGCTCCATGATACCGCCTCTTCTCACACCCTTGAATACCCGGCTTCCCGCCGGCCCCCCGTGTGGGTACCACCTCCGAAGTTCACACAAGCAGCACTTTTAAGTATCATCTTCCCTACTGACTTTTTCTCCATCACCTGAAGTCTAGAGAAGGGGTCCAGCACACTCCATCCCTCAGGTCAAATCTGGCTGGAGGTGTGCTTTCTACTTTTTTAAATAAAGTTTTATTGCAACACAGCCTCGTTTACACTCATTCCTTTGTGTATCGTTTTGGGCTGCTTTCAGGCTACACGGGCAGAAGTTGAACAGTCGCAATAGAGAGCAGATAACACCTGCTCTGGTCCTCTACGGGGAAAGTCTGCTGACCTCTGTTCTACACAATCAGCGGAACAACAAACCAAGCCCTCATCTGTCGTGTCTGCCATTCTCCACAGGGCAAATATTCCCCCTAGGACTAATTTCAAGCCATCAGCACATGTGGCTGGAGACAGATGTACAGTATTTCTGATAGTATTTCCATACCACAGATATAAGAGTTGTAAATAATTCACAGATAAAAGTAAAGTAATTAAGATGTAGTTTTTAGTGGGGCACCTGGGTGGCTCAGTCAGTTAAGCATCTGCCTTCAGCTCACGTATGATCTCGGGGTCCACACTCAGCGGGGAGTCTGCTTGTCCCTCTCCCTCTGCCCTACCCCCCGGCTCATGCTCTTGCACACTCTCTCTCTCTCAAACAAATAAATAAAATCTTTTTAAAAATGTAGTTTTTCCTATTTTTACTACTTTTTAATACAACTTACTATAAGTTTATATAATTTGTTTTTATTAATGATTATATTTAACAATCAGCTCCTAAAATGTCCTAAAATTTAATAACTGGGTCTCCCCAGCTGGCTCCAGGACGCCAATGGACAGAGGATAGAAAAAGGGTAATTTGCTGAAGATGCCCCAAGTTTCTCCATCTGAAGAGTAAGGAGAAAGTCAGTATTTTTGGCAACCTCAGATAAGCCAAGCGATGCTCCGGCCACGGGGCCAGCCTGAGCTGTAGGCACCGTGAATCTAGAAAGCACTCCACAAAGACATGTGGGACAAGACCCCTGCATTCCAGAAATGCACATTTCCATCTTCCGTCACATACCATGTAATAGTTTTTTCCCTGCCCCCCCAAAGAAGCCAGCAACGAAAACATTAACAAAATCCAAACCAATATCACTGAATAATAGCACATGAAAAAGACCAAGGACTTTAGCTGATTATGACCTAGAAAACATGTGGTTGGAGGGATCACCGTGATGCTGGGATGTGGCAAGACCAGACCTGCCAGGGAGCCGTCCTGCCTCGTCTCCATGCTCGCGACCCACCTTCTAGATCTCAGATTGTAAAGGTGGCCCCAGAGCTATGCACATTAGGAGATGCTGGGCCTTGAGCTCAAATGTTCAGAGACTCCGGACGAAGTCGGGCTGGGGAGATGGGATTAGACGGCTGGAGGAGAGGGTGCCCCACTCA